TTAAAGTTGTAATCCTTTAAAAGTTTTATCAAATTGCTTAATAAATTATACTTCAAAAACTTAAATTAAACAAGTTCACCTTGAAATTCTGATAAAATTTTTACAAAAAATTTTTTTATAAAATTAGCTATTTTCAGCTCATTTATTAATATGGTCAAAGCAAATTCGAAATTTTGAATCTAAAATTTATATATATGACTGTTAAATATAAAAATTTAATGATTTTTTAATGCTTTCAGAATCAAAAAGATTTATGAGTATTGAAGTAGTTTCTTCACTATTTACATCAAATATGTAAATATTATCTATTAATTTGTTAGATATTTGATTCAAATTATCTATAAATTTATCTATATCACTACCATCATCATTATCATTATCATCATCATCTAAATTCTTTGTCTCCATTTCACTTGATGTTGATTCTTTAGAGATTTAAGATCTTTTTTTATCTTGTTTAGATTAATTTATATACCAAGAAACTTGCACTATTTTTGCAGCTTGTGATGGTAATAATTGATTATGATGTTCTGTATATATATTACCTAATAAAGACTATACCCATTCTGAAGTTGTAGAATTTGGTAGATTGACAAAAGACGACATGCAAATTCACTTAAATTTGGTGCTACAGGAAGCATAGTATGCCAATATCGCAATAGATACCTGATAAAACTTGAATTTTGAATAAATGATACTGAAAATAGTCTTTCCTGATTTGCATAATTTAACCATTCATCAATAAATTTATCTTAATTATAATTAGAATAAATAGAGCAAAACAATCCATATGCTGACTCTTGAATATACAAATGCCATTTTGGATTTAATCCTTCACTATAGTGATATAGATGAAGAAACCAAATAATTATATAAATAGGATTAAATATTTTTTCTCAACAATTATCAATTTCTATAATTAATGAGTCTCTGAAGTTATTATTAGTAAATGAACTTCTATTAATAGTTTCACGAAGCTATACCCATGATGCAGCTACTTGATCTAATGTAGCTTTTTCTATTTCAAGAATTTTTATAATATAATCATATGGTTTTAATAATTCGTGAAACAATTCAAGATTTATTCAGAATTCATTATTACTAATAATATTATTAATATTAAAATTGCTTTCTTGTGAAGCTAAAACAGATAAGTGCATAAGTGCGATAACCTATATATAGTAATAAAAAGAAATTATATATATAAATATATATTAATATTATCCCTTAGATTGTAAGCTGAGGCAAGCAAATTTGCCTGCGTTTTTGCATTCATTCAGCTCTGATTTACTTTTTTAAAATACAAAAATATTAAAAAAATAATT